TTTAAAACTTAGGTAAAACTTATAGAACTTTTTTTCTGAATTTGAATTTGCAATGCATGTGTGTAATTTTATCGACTCTGATTTTATAGTGCAATGCAATAATAAATAAAACTATCTTTATTTTTTTTTCTATCTGTAATCAAATAATGTTAACTTTTATGCAACTGTAAGTGTAAGAATTTTTTCATCTACAATAATCCTAAGAAACTGCTCCATGAAAGCAATTGAAGTATATATATTTGGTCACTTACAATTGTACATTATCATAAAATCTCCATTGTAGCATTTCTAATCTACTATTGTTCCTAGGAAAACTGCTCCACGAAAGCAATTTAAATATTTGGTCACTTAAAATTGTACAAATTTCTCGCTTTAAGCCCCCCCCCCCTTTTGTAAATATCAACCATCAAAAACATTTCCTAAAATCCCCATTGTAGCGCTGTCTTTTGTTAATCGTTAAGCATGATCTATCATATCTATTTTAGGTCATTTTATCAAAAAACTGTCAATTTCAACTTCTGAAACTGACGCATTCCCGAGATAAAAAAAAACATTTATATTTTACATCACCATCTGGTTAATCTATTTATCTACCAAATCTTTAAACACGATTTTTTTCTTAAATTTGAAATTGAATAAAGTTTAGAATTGTCTACTAACCTTTAGAGCACCACAAACGCTCATTCTCTGTTTTAAATTCTCAATTAATTTTAAATCTTGTCACTGAATAATTATCTTTTCCTGGAAAATGAGTACAGGTTTTCATAATTTGTTTTTATACATATATTTACGCCATTACATGAGCTGTGCCTTGACCTGGTAATATTACATTCAAAGCTCGTCCCGTTATACAGTGTAGGCAAGCTGGTGTCATTCTAACTGCTAAATGATCACCACTATTTACAATCCTCATAAAAATGGTTTCCAGCAATTTTCCACACTTTTCATAGAATGTTTCTTTAATAAAATTATATTAAAATTCATATCTTTTATAAAAGATAAAATTTATAAAAGCAAACCGTTTTTCCATCATTTTACAATTTGCAAGTAAGTACATGTATTACTAAATAAGCAATAAAAAAATTAATAAATTCTAATCTGCAGTAAAGGCTCCATTGAGTGCTGCAGAGAATGAATCTCTCTTCTCTTAAGTTCAACATATATTTAACATTCTGGTAAATTTCCTTGTTCTTATTAATAAATAAACCAGTATAAGTACGTATGTATAGAAAATAACATGTATCTATCTACAAAATGCATTGATTTGTAAATTTTATAGATACTGTATACTTTAAAGATACACGTTTAACTGTGACAATTTTAAAAATTCGTAATGTACATGTAGGGAGAGGGCGTAATAAGTTTTCAGAACTTGTGCCCAATCCCTTTGCAATTATTTAAAAGGAAATACATTTTGTTCGAACAAAAAAAAGCTCCAACTTCACATGTTAAACGTTTATCCCCAAATCCTCAATTTTTAGATAACATGTTTATGCCCTTTCACTTTTATGTTTTGCATGAAAATACTGATACAAAATCGACACATAAATTGTTGACATTACGATTAGGTTTACGATAAGATTGATTGTCTTACCTGTGTGAGGTAAACATTCGGTTTGTTGAAAGCCAAAAAAAAAGGAGCGATTTGATTACTAAGTATACCATATACATTGGGTATTCGCAGTCTTGCTCGGTATACAAACTTAGATAGGGTACATATTAGATATTAATCTTTTATCCAGTATGTACTGCATGTGCTAATACAAACTCAGCTTTTAAGAAGGACAAAAATTGTCTGTTACCATACATTTTACTTGTTCTTTTACCCACCGACATACAACCGGAGTTGTACCACAGACACGTGTTTCTTTCATAAATTTTTAACCCATAAGTATAATAATTCCCCTCGCAGTCATTTACGCTTTCACAGAAAATGCACTGGCAAGCTGCTTATTACCATTCTCTTCTACGAGAATTTATCTACACAACCATATTTTGCCAGCTTGTCTTTATTTTCTTTTATCCCCATAAATAGCGTCAAAACTCTGCTCGCCGACTGGAAAATTCCTCTAACATTAACCACTTTGTAACCTCTGGAAGACTATGTTCTTAAATAAAATAAATTCAATATAAATTGAAGTCCAGGCTATTTGACATCATTGACAGCTGCTTTTTCAATAAAAATGGAACTCGTAAACATAACTTACCTTGTCATTGGTCATTTGCAAAATTATTTTTTTTTAAAAAGCATTCTGATTGTACACACAAGTACTCTGAAGTTGATATTAAAAAGATGCTTGAGTTTCTGATTGAAAATATCTACATGTATGTAGTCTTTGGAGATCAGGTCTTCCAACTATATGTTGGAATTCCCATGGGTACCAATTACGCCCCCATATAAGCAGACCCATTTTTGTTTTCATATGAAGCAGAATTTATTCAAAAACTTCTACAAGAGAAGAAAAAAACACCTTCAACTCGACATTTCGTTATATCGACGACGTATTATCAATTAACAATAGTTTCTTTCATTCATATGTCGACTCGATATATCCCAGTGAGCTTGAAATAAAAGATACCACAGATTCTGACACATCTGATTCATATATAGATATTTTACTAGAAAAAGACGTTAATGGCAACCTAACAACAAAGCTTTGTGATAAATGTGATGACTTCAACTTTTCAATCTGCAACTTTATTTATGTAGCAATATACCCTTATCACATACATATGGGGTCGCCCGCGTGGCTCAGTGGTTAGAGCGTCTGCTCTAGAGTCGCGAAGTAAGGAGTTGATCCTTACGTCGCGGGTTCGAATCCCACTGTGGGACGTGGAGACCGGTCCTTCGGATGAGACCGTATAAACCAAGGTCCCGTGTCGCAGTAGGTGTTGGCACGAAAAAGATCCCTCACTGCTCAATGGCCGTAAGTGCCGAGTATAGGTCAAAATTTGTAGCTCTCCACCGGCAAGTGGTGGCGTCTCCATATGAGTGAAAAATTCTCGAGAGGGACGTTAAACAACATACAAACATACATATGGGGTTTATGTCTCCCAGTTGATTCGATACGCAAGAGCATGCTCTACGTATTAACAATTTCTAAAACGAGGCAAACTATTGACAAACAAGTTGATGAAACAAGGATATCAACAGTCCCATTTGAAGTCATTATTTCGCAAGTTTTACGGTCGATACGATGACCTTGTCAGCACATTCAACCTATCATTAAGTCAAATGCTGACTGATGTTTTTCATACTAATTGTTAGGTCATTACTTATACACTGACATGTCTACGGATTTTTTTCCGGGGTTTTTTTTTCGATCATGAAAAAGAGCACACGGCGGGTGTGACCGGTCGGCAGGAGATGCTCACTCCTCCATGGCACCTAATCTCACCTCTAAATTTTGAGGTCCGTGTTTGCTCTGCTACAAATTTGTATCGTTTCATTGGACTTTCGAGATTGAATACTGTTCGTTATCTTCATATTTCATTATTCAATAAAACTGTTTCTAAAATTACATCGAAAAAATATCGTAAAGTTTTTATGGAAAATAAAAATTAATCAAATTGTATTTATTCATTGCAATAATTAAACATTTGAATTGAATTTTTAAACCCGCTAAATCTAGAATTTTAAAATTTTGTTCTTTGCTCGAGAATAGTATACATTTACATGTATACAAATCCATGGTGCGAGATGAAATTTCCAGTCGGTGAGCAGAGTACGGATATATATAATATATAAATTATATGATTATATAAAAATATTTGAAAATAGTATATGAGTAACAATGGGCTGCACCCTTAGCTCCCAGGATTTGATTTGAACATATTTCATCATATACATGTAATATAACATAAATGGATTGGGCAGCAGGCTTTGCTAATATAAGCCCTCTGCAAAGGTACAAGGTCTATTTGAAGTATGTATAATACTACATATGTTTTACAGGTACAAATCATCAATGAGTTGTATTTAATTAACACAAAAATGAATTCAACAGGAAAAAAGACTTTGAATAATTACCGGTTTCATGAGGGGAAAAAAACAGATAAAAGTAATAAGTGGGATAAATAATAAAATACGATGTATGTGTTTTTGATTCATTCTATTACACGAGTTCACGTCATCTATGAAAGTTTGTGAAATATATTCATGAAAACAATCAAACAAGGCAATATTTTTTTGTACAAGTATTATTAATGTCACCAAATAATAGAAGATTTAAAAATACTGGTTGTTGCCGATCCATACTAGATTACAATTAAAAAGAATATTTCTTTGTTCAATATAACATAATTATACATTCAAAGAAAAAAAAAGAATGCACATTCAGCATGAAAACCAGTTTTCACAATAATGGAATTTTCTCCTATAAAAACAGGATTTCGCTCCATTATCTATTTAAACTTTTATCCACTAAAACAAATTTTAAAACACATTTATATAAAATGCAAAAGAGGGTAAAGGTATTGATATTCAATTTAGGATAACACTTGTTATGTTATCTGACAATTTGCCCGAACCTTAAAACTTTCACATTTTTATTACTTTGAAAACTGCATAAATGCAGCAAAGTAAGCTAGAGAACACGGAATCTCTATCCTGGGAGTAGAGTGAGGTTCTGTCGAGTACGGCTTTCTTGAAATGTCGGAACATCATTATTTTCTTCCTTCTTAAACAAAGAAATCAATTAGTTTGAACTCAAAAATATCTTTTAAATAGGAAGGTGTCTTTTGAAAGGACAGTTTTACGATACTTATTTTCGGTTTTGTCTTATTCGAGTTAGATTTGCAAGTTTGCCAGAACTTTGTTTTCTTGGAAAGGTTCTCATATATCTATCTTTCTACTCTCTTCTTTATTTCCCGTATGTTCTTTACCAGAAAAACAGAGTCGTACCTTGATATGACAGTTTATTATCTTCGTGTAAGGTTAATTACTTGTTTAAGGCTATTTATCATTTGAACAAATTATAAATACCTTCCTCTTCTTTCAGATGCCTTTACTCCCGCCGAACCACAGAATCCTCAAGGTAAACCAGTTATTATCATATTTGCCTACATCAATATATTGTTAATAATATGTTATTACAAAAAGTTCAATTGAAAAATTACAGGTGCACTACGGAGTAATAAACTCATAACAAATGTTTCTTCTTTAAGTGATTTTTGATCTGTTTTGTAAAATGTCGACTTCACAGACCCTTTTATAAACGTATAAGGTTTAAATAGATGCTATCGTCAGTGTGATGAAATGATAAAGAAATATTTGCTTTAGGTCAGATATTGAAACTATTGTACAATCAATACACGGTTGACATTGACTGACTTTTATCTATGAAAAAAGGTGTTGTTGCATTAATTGTCAAAAAATGAAATATTTCAAGTTTCGGGGTGGCAGGGAGGAGGTTGGTCTAGAAACAAATTGACGACTTAATAGCATGGAAATCGGTATAATCGTTAAAAATAAAAATCTTAAATGAAACCACAACCAAACACCAATCTGCTTATTCAGTTAACACTGGTCAGGAATTCACGTTCACATAAACCTACACATTAATGGAATGACGCAGCAATTTGACAGCTTTAAAGCTTATTCATTCTTGCAATCATTTTAAAGGTTTTAAAACTTGCTTGAATAAAAATTCACTACCACCCATTTTCAAATTAACTTTAAGGAATAATTTGCATAAAACAAAATTCCTAATCATTTTTCAATGTCAGCAACGTGAGATCCACTGTGTTGAATGTGAAAGGAGAAATACCGGGCAGATTTTCCATTTTGAATACCTCGGCCGGTATGCTCGCAAGATTGTGTACAGTTGGGGGATATTTCCACCCTAGAGTGTGCGGCGGTTGGTAATGAATCAGGACGATTTATACTGGGTGGAATAATCCCCCCCCCCCCCAAACACTGTGAATTACTTGATAAGTCTCAGCAAACAACTCAAGTGTGTTATTAGGAGCATGCAACAAATATCTGAAACAACTTTAAAACAAAAAAAAATTAACAGGAAGGCAAATCTAACCATTAAGAATATCAAATATTAATAACACTATAACTCAGAACATCAAAGTCAATAAAGAATAAATGTCAGAAAGCTCCCCGCAGAGAGAGCTAGGGCCATGTTTATAATTACTTTTGATGTCGGTGCCTTCAACCTCCCCCGCTAAAAAGACACCTGAAGGACGAACTAGCTTCCAGGAGCCAAGTGTAACTTACTTGATGAAGACGATCCGGAGTTTATTTTTGTGTGACAATGAAATTCTGGGTATATCTATTATTTCTGATATTCCACATAGTGTGGGAGGCAATTCAGAATGTACACAGGATGTGGCAACGAGGCTACCTTTAGATGTCTAACGCCGTTTATCATCTGCAAATAACAGATATAAACGATTTTCTAAATTATTTTTTTTTTTTTTTTTTTTGTAACAGTTGACTGAGTTTGACTGTGATGTTAGACCAAACTCTTTTCTAAATATATATTGTGCACTCAGTGTTGTTATGGTTAATCGGTCCTCGTGTCTTATTGGCTTATATTTTTAAATATTTCACCACTAGAAATAACCATTTAATAATTGACAGACATAAATACTAGATTTTTTTTTAGAAGGGTATTAAAATGATAAATTTTTGTTTAAGAATTTTAAAACTACATCGGAGAAAACTAGATAACGCGGATACATCTAAACGTTAACTTAAGAACAATAAATTTCAGGCCTAGACAAAAAATCTAAGCCCTGAAGGCGAGACAGCCTTGCATGCATGTGGCTGTCTCAGAAAGTCCAGAACACACATACACTACTTGGTATATTATATACCTAGATACTGGTGGAAACAAAGTGCATAGCGTAGACACAGAAATTAATTCTGAAATATTCTTCTTATTCGTTCTTTACTATATTGTGAACACCTTATATGTTTGTATTTTCTCTATACTGTTTTCAGTTACGAGAATAAAATTCATTCATTCACTCTGTGTATTTAAGTAGAAAATTGCATTGTTAATCTAAAGTAATTACATGACATCAATAATTATTTCGAAATCAAAAGTCTTCCGACATGTGCACGTAAAACCTTGACAGCAAAAGTTCATCAATCTAGATATGTATATCCGCATTGTCATGTGACCAAGTTGCTAAGCGAAAGAAAACGACACATTTTCGCAACACATATGACTTTTCCTTCTAAATCATAAAAAGAGAACATTTGATAGGTATGAAGCTTCAATTAATTTAGTTTAGAGTCATGACGACTCTAGCATTTCATGGAATTAAAAAGGGCATTTAAAACATTAATCACTGTAAATACTAATTTTGAAATAAATTTGTTAAATATCAGAAGTTTCTCTAATTGATTTGAAGATTAAGTTTATTTAATCACAGATGAGCACAGAAGCATCATATAAAAGTGTGACTGTTGTAAATATAATAACTATACAAATGATGCGTTGTTAATTGCAAAACTGTTTATCAATATTCATAAAGACCGCTAAAACGCCCTGGCTTATTTAAACATCATTACCATACCTCGGTATCTACTGTCGCTGTTCATATGTTGCGGAGGAGAACGCAATGTATCTAAATCAACACAGTAATTGATTGTGCATCAACATTATTTATTATACCTGATAATCTAATTCGTTGGGAGCACCTGTTAAGCTACGTTAAAAAATCGATCGACTTTGTAACTTTGAAACATTTGCTACGATCATGCTCGTTTTCCGTAAACGTTTGTATTAATTTTAGTATACCTGTTCCCCCTGCATGACTTGTCACCTGTCTGTGTGTATTTACATTTATTGCATTAAACAGGTCAAGTGTTCTACAGCTGTCTCGGGGTTTTCATTGGCTGTTCGCTTTTTACCTGTATTGTCAAAGCTAAAAGAGCGTAGTTGTGACATACATTTGTGAATGAAATAGTTCGGTGGCTATGCAGGCAGCCAATCAAATTACCTGGCTGACTTCATTGGCACAGCTAGGTGTTTATTTATATCTAGCTACACGTGTATGATTATCCAATTGTATTGTTCTTTTCTACAGGAAGTGACGTAGTTTTCCCTGTTGGCCATGTGACTACCAATTTGACAATGCCGTCTGTTAGCCCATCTCAATATGTATGTATCCAAGAAACTAGATGCACACATTTTTTTCTTTGCTGAATCAAAATGATTATTTCTGCACCACAATGTGTAAAGGTGATACGGAAGTGCATTTGTCTTTTGCATTAGTTAAAACTGGAATATTATTTTCCAAAAATTAAGCGCTTTTGTGAAAATATATTAAATACTAGGAAAATAATTTTTTCTTATCATTTTGCATTTGCAGATTTGCGATATGCTTGATCCATTTCTCGAGGAGCCACTTATAGAAGGAACCGAATACACTGGCCAACAACAACAGAATCATTTTGAAAATATTGTGGATCCTTTATTTTGTTCTAACAATAATAATAATTACAATACGACAGACTCGGCTAAAATGAGAGGGGAATCCCCAGACACAGCCTGTAAAGTTACAGATTCTGCGGACTTTTACCAGGGGTACCAAGCTCAATCTTACCCCACGGAATACCCCGAGTCCCAGGAAAGGCTATCTCACCAGGGAAATTATGAAGTACCTTATTGTGCAAAAATGATTGACAATAACCCTGTGTGTGAGGAAAGAACCCCCTCTGTATACGACAGACAATATCCACAAAGTAAAAGAACCAAGTTTCCAGGTAGAGTTGGTTTATTATATTTCAATTGATTCTTTTGATTGCTTTTACCAAATATTTATAAGTATGTCATAACAACTTATGGAGAAATAACAAATAATTGACGATGTATAACAAATAATTGCGGGATCGATGATCTGAAATTATCATGAATTCTTTATCATTTTTCTATGAATCTGACTAAATAAGCTCATTTTCTGTCTTTTATTTCAACTGCAACAATAGAAATGTTTCCTGACACGGAACCAAAGTAAAAATGCTCAAAATTAAAGTCTTTTGAATTTAAGTATCATTTCACTGAAATATTTAATTATGAATGACTTTTAATGAATGGTTGACGAATCACAGCTTTTAGTATCATATTCGTATTTTAAAACACAATACTACTAATTTTTTGAAGATTGGTTGAAAAAGAGACCTCTCCGTGTAAATTTCATATAACAAATAATCACCTGGGAGTAAAGAAAAAAAATTCTTCATGTAGAACATCAGCATTTTTATACCGAATGGTTATTAGAGTATATATTACATTTAGAGACATTGAAATACTGTGATGTGTCCCGTAAATAAACTTACAACTTTAAAAACAACTAAAAGCGGAATTAACTTTGGTGAGGATGCCTTCCAATACTCAACGACATTCACAACATCCCTGAACTTTAAATAGTGATTATTAAATTATAAATAATTTCACTTTTTTCTCCAATATTAATTCATATGGGAGAAAAAAAAATAGAAAAAAAATCCTTCCGATTTATGAATACATAGAAAACAAATTTTAATTGCAAATATTTGATCAATGATTAGATTGATACGACCTGACTCTAGTTTGCTTTAGATCTCAAATGTACCGCCTTCACCCCATGGAGAACCGTGGCACTAAAATAAAGGATCAAAAAGTTCACTGAAGAACAATAGCGTGTCGGGGGGTTGTAAACACGGCTTCTAGCCATGTCCAACAAGACCAAAACGCGTTGAACGAAATATTCTGTCTTCATTTTAGTCCGATCGTAGCTTGTTTTATCCGAGATTTTATCCATAAAAGATTAGATTTTATTTTCATAAACAGTCATCATTTAATTTGATTGGATTGAAAAGAAAGATAAAAGATTGTACTTAATGACCACTATTGAATTTTATTCATGCTTTTTCTACAGATTCCAATGAATTTGGTGGTCGTTGGTCAAACAAGCATCCAGAAAACTGGTCCCCACAGGAAGTTCTGGACTGGGTCTTCTATGCCGCTGAGAAAAATGGAATCGACTGTGAACATTTGTACGCCGAGAACTTCCGAAATATTGCCGGGATCGAGCTTTGCAAGATAGGCCTTGACGGCTTTTTGAGGCTCGAGCCTAACTATGGCCGACTGTTTTTCAAAATGTTCCGGGAACTGTGTGACGGAAGTGAGTATTTTATATGATAGCTGGGTGGCAGATTAAGTATACCCTCTTCGCAATTTAACATTTAAATTCTTGTTTCATTATGAAATTAAAAATATAACCTTTATAACTACTTCCATTATAGAGTTTGATTATGATTTCAGTGTACTTTCAACCCAGGAACGACACCCCCGCTCACCACAGTCCCAAGGCAGGAGATCTGAGTTACCCCCCAAACAAAGCCAGGGAACATATAGTCATGAATTCCGAATCTACTCCCCTGGCACCGTCATATTATACCGTCCAAGGTCAATATTTTATGCTGAATTTATATGTAAAATATTTTATTTTTCTCTACACAATTCTAGTTCAATTTATTGTCAAGTATGGTAAAACTATTGGTTATTGTTCATTCAATAAATTTGGTAATATGTTTTATTAACAGACATGGCAAAAATGGAGACAGCCCCATCACAATACATGTATGAAATTCCGGGAATGACCCCGTATAAATGCCAAAACATGCCAACGATGCCAAATCCATTTCAAGGTAAGACACTTAAAAAATGGGGAGTAATGAAAGTCAATCTCTAAATGTTAAAAAATCAAAATAATCGTAAATTGGCGATGGTTCTTTTCATATTTTGCCCCTGAATTATCAAAGACAAAATCTGATTAGCAATCTTTTTTCACAGCGTCACATTTGAAGCACCATCCCTTGCCCCCCTACGGACACATTCCTTCACAGATCATGTACTCAAACTTCGGCATGGCCAGGCGCCTTCCATACGGTCTGCCCGAGGATCATCTTCACCAACCCATCCGACGCCGACCAGGCCGACCCAGGATCAAAAGCCAACCCACTGATGACGAGAACGCCAGAGAAAAGAAAGGTAGCTGCAATCAAATGGGTTTTTTTTTCTTTTAATTTTCATGTGTGTGTGTATATAGTAGAACAACCAGCACGACACATATGCTTCATGATACAGTTTATTGGCTTTCAAAAAGTATTGAAACGATTAAAATTATGATTTTCAGCTAAGAATCAACATCTATGGGAATTCATCTACGAAATTCTGATGAACCCAATGTATAACCCTCAGTTCCTGAGATGGGAAAATCAGAGAGAGGGCGTGTTCCGGTTTGTCCAATCAGAAGCCGTTGCCCAACTATGGGGAGGGCTAAAAAACAACGAAAATATGACCTACGAAAAACTTAGCCGAGCCATGAGGTGAGTTGATTGTTCATGCCCCCACTATTACTAATCAAGCAAGAGACTTATTTTTAGACATGCGGTTATTTTGCCCATTCACAAGTTTACTAGACATGCTTGATTAGACCTGATTCATCACAAGCCTCGTTGACCATTTCCTGGTTTCTCTGTCTGTCGCAGGATAGATTGTTATTTCGATATAAAAAAGATTATAAAATCAATCCATTGAACGATTATCATCTATGAATGGGCGTTCAGGTGACTCACATTTATGTCAATATCTTGCTCGTCCCCCCACGCATTTTTATCAAAAAATCTCAGTCGTCCTCCCAATGCACAAATAAATTCATAGTTTTTCTCCATTTAGAAAATAAGGTCTAGGTCAGAAATTGAGCTCAAGATGGTCAATATAAAATCAGGTGAACTGTTTGACGTAGAAGACTGTTTGTCGTATAAACACCGCTTCTCCGTCACGAGGTCCGGTTTTAACAGAGAAACACTTGATTTTTGTTTGTTATAAATTCTAACAATCCAACCAATGACATTTGCTGATTTGGAAGAATGACGTACAGAAAAACAGAATCAGTCCTGGATTTATTGGGCGAACAATCGTTATGCCTGAAAAGCCTTTGGTCATTATAAGAAGAGCTCAAGATAATAGTACATGTATAATGAGTCGAATCAATACCAAATCCATGTTGTAATCGTTTAAATAATGATCTTATTTTTTATGTTGTAGACATTATTACAAAAGGGGAATTCTGGAAAGAGTAGAAGGACGGAGACTGGTGTACAAATTCTCTAGGGTAGCGATGGAGAGAGTGAGGGAGAAGCGACACTCCATCTGATTGACCTCAATTGAGTATCGCGTTAATGTTTGCAAATATCTGTGAACTTTTTCACTAACAAACAAGCCATAGAGAGGCTTATGTGGATAATTCCACCAAGTTTCCACTGGTGAGCAGATTCTACCGAATGACCACACTTGGCTAGCCATTTCTAGTCATTCGTTTGTGCTCTAGTCCCATGAAGTATGTTCGGGTTCAAATGCGCATGCGTTATCAAAGCGTCAAGCAACCCATAACGTATGAATTGTCATGATATGTTTTAAAACCAGAATAACAGCATAAATATGGCTAAGGAAATTTTTTTCCTTTTTATGACCGAATGAAAATGTTTTATTGATACGAGTGGTATGTTTATTTATTGTATTTAATGTCCATGTAATGGAGAGAAAGTTTGCAACGTTTTAATATTTTTGTACATTATGCAATAGTGTGCTAAATAAATTTAATTTATATATGTAATTTTTCATTCCATAAACTGTTAGGACGGAAACATACATTACCTATGATTTTTTTCTACTTGTTTTATAATGCCATGTTTCATAACCTTTTTTTTTTTTTAAAGAAATGAAGGACCATGTTTTGTTAATTTACGGATGTATATAAATGAATTCTAATCATGTCCTTATTATTGGTACAACTTTACAAAACGCTGTACATAGTGCAGTAGCTCTAAGCTCACGGCTAAAGATAACGAATGCTAATTATAAAACCTAATACGATCAAAAATTAGGAAAAGAAAAGAATATGAAAATTTATATGTTGACAAAGTTATACATTTTCAAAAGGAAATATTATCCTTGATACTGGTAATGGATTTCATTGAATTCAAACAATTATTTATGTATATAAAAACCAACATTCCTTTGTACAAAGAAGTGTCCTTTTGCAGCAATATTTATGTGTACAAGATAAAGTATTTTTATATGTCTCTATTGAATCTCATAGCTGTGCTTTTTGTTGTTGTAAATTATTTTTGTACGTTATTTATATATATATGATAGTCAATTTCCGCTTCTGTAAAATAACACAGCGGCGGTTGCAGCAGGACATGCTTGTTAGTATTTATTTCTTGTAAAATAAACTTTGAAACGCTTTCTCTTATTTTCTTTTTCACTCAAAATAAAATTAATTTAATTAAAAGATTAAAACAAAAACTATAAAATTCTGTTTAGTCATAAGATTAGAATCATTATTAAGTAAACTGAGCAAAGAAGGTACAAATAATTATATAGAGCATCACAGAGGCAGGGAAAACACGCTTCCAAGGCCATTAGTAAACAAGGCTTGTATAACCAGCCCAAATTCAACCTCTTTACCTCTGACTTTTAGTAAGGATCTTCAACAGTTTTGAGCCAAATACAAGACAAGTTATGCAAGCTTTAACAATTTTGGCTTGTTTGGAGGCGATGAAAGAACGTGTCACATAGATACACGTACGAATAAATGTGACATTGTCAGTTTTATAGGAGGTACAAATGTTAAAAATGGAAGTTCTTCAGGAAAGTGTTACATAGGAAAGAAAATTAATGCCTGAAAATGTCCTCCTTTTTGACGTATGAAAGCATAATGAATTTGACAATTTTTTTTCCCTTGCATAAACATGAATGTGAGATTCTGAGCATGCATGATAATACAACCGTAAATAACAATAACGCATAAAAAGTAGTGGTTAATTATCAATTATATAAATGAAAATGACAAAGGAATTCCAATTACAATGGTCTTTCCTGGGAGACTATGCATCGTCAAGAGTCACACGAGGTCTGGAAGAAGCCATCACAGCTCCACACTCGGTATTTTTAAAAAAGACAATCTTTAAATTGAAACACTTCTTCTTCAATTTTTTTTTTTATTCTAATACTTTTGCTACTGTACTTGTATTATATGTCTTCTTAATTTGAAGTTATCAAACTAGGCCAGTCTAAAATGCATATTTCGTTGTACCAGCCGTTAAGCAAAAAGAGTCTGAAAGATTTTATTATGACGGAGTCAAAGACTGATATCACGAGAAATTAAAGCTATCTTAATAATGGAAATAAGTTTGATTTTCAAAGATATGTCAATAAATTCTTTTTAGACATGGGAATTGTCCAGCTTACAAGTCAAGCTTTATTAGTCTTAACTTTGCTCTAAGTTACTAGTATTATTATTCATGAAAAGACTTGGTATATACATACAGCAATTAAATTTTTATAAACACTGTTTTGTAAACTTGATCCCAGTTCTTTAAGAATATATATTTTACTAACCTCTAGTCCATAACTATAAGGACCCCACTGGAAACAAGTCTTCGGCTTCTAATGGTTACCCTTGCTATACGAACGTGTGAGTACTCGTACACCTAACATTTATGTTTTCTAAAACTGACTGACTCAGATATTTTAATTATGATTTTTTGTGCCAAACATAATATGATACATGTCAAAAATGTATTGTTTAAAAGTATACCAATCTCTCTCTCTCTCTCTCTCTCTCTCTCTCTCTCTCTCTCTCTCTCTCATATGCTTACGTACGTACATATTTGTATTTAGTCAAAAGTTTTTATAATGTTGATGAATGAATAGAATGTTATTTTATGTATAACGAATGCAATAAGTGAAATAATATTAAAAAAAATATTCTTCATCTGATTTTTTTCTTTTTGTTGATATACATATAGTTTCACATAAACCAGTGAAAAATACAATAAATAGAAATCTATTCTTATACCGTCACTTTTTAACACTTGACAGATGGTTGACTTGCGAGATTCATATCTTCAAACTGTATAAAAATGGCAAATCATCTTTAAAAGGGCTTAAAAAGAGCTTTAAAAGAGCTTTAAAGATAATATTCGAAACTGGAAAAGTTTGTGTAATGATTAAAAAAGAATTACAGCTAAAGTGCAATCCGACAAAGGTGTACCTTGTTCCAAGAGAAACAACTCTTGACATTATTTCTATATAAAATTCAAATGTCAAGCTTTTGTAGATTATTCGCTGATGATAACAGTTTGCAGTACGCATCTAAATGTGTTAAATCTATAGAAAGTAATCTGAATAATGATCTTTTATCTCTTGAAGAGTGGTCAAACAAATGGTTACTAAAATTTAATCCATCCAAAACTAAGGTTGTATTTTTTAGCACAAGAAAAAACATAGAACCTCCCAAACTCCTATTCCAAGATAGCCAATTAGAATATGTTCAAACTCATAAACATTTAGGGGTAACTTTTTCATATAACTTAAGTTGGTCAACTCACATTGAAATCTTACTGTCTAATGCATACAAAAAAATTGGTCTATTAAAAAAACTTAAATTTAAAATAAATCGAAAGACTCTTTCACTCATGTATACTTCATTTATCCGCCCTCAGCTCGAATACGCTTCAGTTGTATGGGGTGGTTGTCTAGCTATCGACTCTGAAAAATTAGAGAAATTGCAACTACACGCAGCACGGATTGTTACTGGCTTGACCTTAATTGCATCTAGAGACTCTTTGTACTTTGAAACAGGCTGGGAACCGCTCATTGATAGACGCAAGATTCAGAGATTGAATACCATGTATAAAATTCATAATAATTTAATTCCTGATTATCTACGTGAAATTATACCTGAAATGCGATGTAATGCTTCCGCGTATACAACAAGAAACTCAAAATTATAATATACCCGTCTGTAGACTGCAAATATACAAATCATCATTTGTACCAACTGTAGTAAACGAGTGGAATTCTTTATCGCTAGACACCAGACTCTCGAGCTCCTTATCTGCTTTTAAAAGTAAAATCACACAAAAAATAACAATAGCCCCGCCTTATTTCAGTTTTGGAAAAAGACGCTACAATATACTGCACACTAGACTCCGACACAATTGTGTGCTAAACATTGATCTTTATAGGTGTAACATAATATCTAGTCCATTATGCTCTTGTGGTAAGATAGAAGACACACATCATTATTTTTTCTCATGTCCTAATTACACTGAGGCCAGGAAAGATTTCTTCGATAAGTTTTTGAGATTTAATAAAGTTCATATTGTTGACACTCATACTTTACTCTGGGGGGATACCTCACTCAGTATTGCTGAAAATGAATATCTCTTCTCTATTGTTCAATCTTATATTCAGCATTCAGGCAGATTTAATTGATTTTTCTAAAAATGTGTATAGATAATAATTTAGCAGTATATGTTTCTATGTTGTGAGTTAACTTACTTTGTACATGCTGTTGGACACGTCTGATTGAATTTTTGTGATATAACATGTAGGGAGAGGGCGAATTAAGTTTTTAGAACTTGTGCCCAATCCCATTGTATATATTTATTGCAATAAAATATGTTCAAATCATAAAATTCCATCTCTTTATCTCTCTGAACAGATGTGAGAGCCAAGCATCCGTCATGTACTGTAAGCATCATCTTAAATTACAACCTTAATCTAAAATTGCATTTCTTGTATTTTTAATTTATATAAAAAGTTAATAACTTCTAAATAATCCCCTAAACGTATTTTCGGAGGAATAATATATGAAAAGTAAGACAAATACCAATAGCTTTTTAAGATTTTTCAAAGATTTCAACAAATATAATTATATGCAACAAATTTCCTCATTAAATTCTAGTCAAATGACTTTATTGTGAAATCCATGTTTCATAGGCCTTTACAAAAAGGAAAGGTTGCTGGCACATTTTCAGCTTAAAATCCGACTTAAAGCAAGAGAAATTCAGTATCAAATCTCTAAAAACAATTCAACTAAATTAACATCATTGTTCAAATCCTTTAAGTTTCAACTATAATTTGATTTTGAAAATAATCAAGTCTTCATTTTTTTATTTTATTGTTCTACATTATTCTTTCCAGTTTTACTGTCTTTTCCGTGAATGACCATTGCAATAATAATAACCTCTTATTCTATTCTGTGTACATTTTTTGTTGTCCATGATGGCACTGCCAACAATTCTTATTAATATTTTAGTCTTTCCTACGAGTATTATCTGTAAGACATGTATTTCTTTTACGCTCAATATCTAACACTATTGTTTCAAGTTATTTTCCCGGAAATACCACTTCCTGACGTTCAGAGAAAGCAACAGACAATAAACGTGTAATTTCTTCTAGATATTTCTTCTTCTTCTTCTTTTTAAAAAAAAAAAAAACAACAACAACAGAGGTCTTCTTTCGTGTTTTTTTTTTTCATAACTCATTTTTGTTCTGATTTGTTTATCCAATAAAGGTATTAGAAGATGTATTTAATAACGATTCATATCAACACTTTAATAAAAAATAATCTTTTGTTTCCTATTCAAAGTGTCAGTCTAACAATTCAATTTCAGTTCAAGTTTATCTGGCTATTTCTACATATAAAACTTTGTTATAACATTTAGCAATTTACAGAAAAAATATTTTTTTTCTGCGTAAACAAAAACCACAAACAATTAAATCACTTGAATTGATCAACCTGTACAAATTACATGACTAATTAGATACTTAAGAGCATGTTCCGAGTGCGATCAATTTTTCAAACCGATTCAAGCTATTGACAGATAATATAAGTTGATGTTACTGGGATTTCAACAACCTCGTTTTAAGTCAGCATTTCATGAATTCTTCGGTCGTTATAATGACCTTGTTAACAAGGCCGTATTTTGCATGATATATTTCATACTAGCAAGGTCGTATTTTGCATGATATATTTCATACTAGCAAGGTCGTATTTTGCATGATATATTATATAAATAGTGCACGTTTTTGAGGGTAACAGTTGAAATTGACACCCAAGGAAAACCATTGTCAACCGACGCGTCAGCGGAGGTTAACAATGGTTTTCCGAGGGGTGTCAATTTCAACTGTTATCCTCAAAAACGTGCACTATTTATTTTATTATACTGAATGTCTTATTGATTTCGGATGTCATGAAAAAAATTCGGAGATCGTCGTTAAGTTCACGCTTAGAAAGCTTTCAAACTCCCCGCTTCTATTTTTCTCAATAAGAAAACTTCGGGAAAGATTTACCAACCTCTCTATTGTTTGTTTGCTACTCAAAAAGTCCTTTATCATCTAAAGTTTGCACTCGCAAGGATGTTTCGTCTGTCGTTTGTTGTTTTCAAGTAAGC